GGGTCGCTGGCCAGCCTGGGGCGGCCGAGGCCCCTTGGGGCGGGCGGCTTCCTGGAGGGAAGGGCCCTTTCCTGCGGGCCCGGGCTGGAGCGGCGGGAAGGGGGAGCCCGGCCTCCGGATCAGCCGACCCCCTTCAGTGGGCCAAGCCGGGCTTGCAGATGCCAAGCTTGCCAGGGCAGGCTTTAAAAAAAAAAAAAAAAAGAAGACAGGGTGTTGCTGTAAAGTTCAGCGTGGCCTTAAATGTGTAGCCCAGGCTGGCTTTGAATGTGCGGCAATCCTCCTGCCTCAGCCTTCCCAGTGCTGTGATTATGGGCGCGGGCCACCGCACCCAGCACGTGGGAGCCGACTTGCCTGGAGCTGGGAAAAGAGTGTTGCACTCGCGGCCTCGTTATCTTTTGTCTAGGAGGTCACTCTTCGGGCCTGGATCTTCTGACCTTAGTCCCAGGGCCCATGTAGCGCTGTCCAGATGATGCACAGCAGCGCTCAGGGTGTTGTTTCCAGGGGTGGCCTCGGGCTACTCAGTCAGGTGGGCCCTGCTGGACTGAGCAACCCGCTGGCGGTGGGCTCTGCTGGGCAGAATCTGGTCGTGCCCCTCCCTGCCTGCGGGCTCCGGAGCTGTGCCGCTGCAGCCTAAGGATGCGACGGAGCATCTGGTTGTAGCATCTAGCAGATTTGCAGACTTTGTGGTTACCCAGAGTCCTGGGCTGTTTTCACACTTGCCGGTGGTATAGTCTCAGCAGGAGGCGACTCCTGAGGACGTCACTGGGTCTCACCTCTGTGGCTGAGAGCCCTACGAGGAGCCCCAGGAGGGCGCAGACATTTCCCGCAGGCCCAGCCCGGGACTGTGTTTTATGGACACACAGGGCAGGTGTGACTGGCTGGCTGGGTCGCTGGGTGTCTGCCGGCTGGCGGGGGATCACCTGTGAGGACCAGGCCGCTGCAGTTATACGCAGTAGGCCGGGCTGCGGAGTGACGGGGAGCGGGGGCGAGGATTGAATTCGGGAGAGCCCCGGCAGGTGCCCAGGTGTGCTGCTGTTCAGCCTTGCACCTGTGCCCAGCAGCTTCTGAAGAAGAAAGGCCTTGAAGGAGGAATAGGATGGAAGGTGGGGGTGGGGAGGAGGCGGGTCTGAAAGTGGGGAGCGGCCTAGTCGCGCTGGCGGTGAAATGGTCCGTCTCCCTCCGAAGGCCGCGTACTGGCGGGGGAGGGAGGTCCTGCTGCGGTGGGACGGGCAGGGCGAGGCTGGGGAGTGGCAGCAGTGGCTAGAATGGCCTAGAGCAGCCTTGCCTGGTGACTCCCAGGAACGCAGGGCGTCAGCCGGGCCTGGCGCTGTGGCCACGGTGGAACGGGCGTGCTCTTCCCACTGCAGCCCGTGGCGAGGTGTGCCCAGCGGGCCTCGGAGGCAAGTCCTTCCACAAGCTCTGCCCAGATTTCTGCTGTGGCTCCTGTTCCAACCGGTACTGCTGCTCGGACGTGCGGAAGAGACTTGTGCGGGCTGAGGATGGGTGTGCTGGGCCCGAGGACAGGTGGGTGCGTGGTGGTTTGGGGGGCGGGGGAGCGGCCTGTGCCCCGCGCTGTCCCCTCCGCACCCTGGATGATGGCTGAACGCTGGACCAGAGAAACCCGCCCGGCCTGAGGCTCCTGCCGTGCACCCTGACCGACAGGTCCTCGCGGTGGGCGGCTGGCATGAGGGTGCCCCGAGTGTGTGCTTGCACCCGGACGTGAGTGCACAGGGCACCAGTGTGTGCCCAGGCTAAGCTGCGCTGTGTCCTGGCTCAGCCCACGGGCCCAGAAGTGACTCTGCTGGTCACGCTCTGTGTTTCCTCTGTGTTCAGTCACAGATGCAGAGCTGAGGCGGTCACACGCCTCAGCTCATTTATTTCCGTCTCCCACGACCATTCCATTCCTCTCCAAGCCCACAGGCAGCCGGTCTGCCCTGCTTACGGGGTTTTCTTTTTTGAGACAGGGTCTCCCTATGCAGTTCAGGCTGGCCTTGTGCTCACTGTGTAGCCCAGGCTGGTCTTGAACTCGCAACGATCCTCCTGCCTCAGCCTCCCGGGTGCTGGGATTATAGACCTGTGCCACCAGGCCCAGCTTCAAAACACCTTTTCATAAGGGCGTTGACCCCATCATCATGAGGGTGCCCCCATGGCCTCCTCTGAGCCTACTTAATTCTCCAAGGCCCTACTTCCAAGTGGCATCGTGCGTTAGGGCTTTAACATGAATTTGGGGGATACAAACATTCAGAAAATAGCATCTCCAACCTGGCCCCCACCCATTCACATCCTTCTGTTTCACGTGCAAAATACATTCATATCATCCGATAGCCTGGAAATTCATTTACCCTTGGTCAGTTCTCATCTAAAATTAGTGCTATCGGGGGCTGGGGATTTAGCTCAGTGGCACAGTGCCTGCCTGGCAGGTGCAAGGTCATGAGTTCAATTCCTGGTACCAGAAAAAACAAACAAACAAACAAAAACCCCAAAATAAAATAAAATTAGTGTTCTCTAAATCAAGTATGGTGGGGCTGGGGATATAGCTCAGTGGCACAGCAAGCACAAGATCCTGAGTTCAATTCCTGGTACCAAAAAATAAATACGTAGCTGGGCATGGTGCACACATCTGTAATCCCAGCACTCGAGAGGCTGAGGCAGGAGGATCGTTGTGAGTTCGAGACCAGCCTGGGCTACAAAGTGAGCTCAAGGCCAGCCTGAACTGCATAGCGAGATCCTGTCTCAAAAAGACCAAAAAAAAAAAAGGGGGGGGTGCTAGGGGTATAGCCCAGTAGCACAGCACCTGCTTGGCAAGCGCGAGCTCCTGAGTTTAATTCCTGGTACCCACCCCCTCCACAAAGAAAATGTTGGGAAGAGCCCTGGTCGGCATCCCATCCCTTCTTGGGTGCTGGGGGTGCATCCACAGCTCTGCAGGGGGTGCTTCTGGCCCGCAGAGCCACGGTGGGGCTGCACTGCCGCCCCGCAGCCTCCTGACCTGCGCAGCAGCTCTGCTGGCACCAGAGTCACGCTGCAGCCTTCTCGCCCTGGAGAAGAATAGTACCGGAAGAGGACTGCGGCCCTCGGGAGGCGACAGGATGGCTCGAGTCTGGTCCTGTGGGATCGAAGAAGGCCGCAGCATTCCTGCATTTCCTTTCTCTGTCCCTGTAGCTCCAAGCTTGGCAGTGTTTTTGCCAGGGTGACTGATGAGATACATAGTTTAAGCCCATTCTGATGATTTTTGGACTACACACTCATAACTGCAGTATGGATAGGCTGAGCATCTTTTTTATTTTTAAAATTTTAATTCTTTTTTTTTTTTTTTGAGACAGGGTCTTACTGTGTAGTTCAGTCTGACCTTGAACTCACTATGTAGCTCAAGCTGGCCTTAAACTTGCAACGATCCTCCTGCCTCAGCCTCCTGAGTGCTGGGAGTGCAGGTGTGCCCACCACCATGCCTGGCTCAGTCTTTTCTTTAATTTCTTTATGCTTTTTCCTTAATCTGAATACTTGCTCTTTAAGTAGTATATATGTTATTATTTATTTATTTATTTATTTTTGGTTTTTCTCCGGTACCGGGAATCGAACTCACGACCTTGCGCTTGCCAGGCAGGCACTGTGCCGCTGAGCTAAATCCCTAGCCCCTGTGTTATTATTTAGATGATCAATTTCTGGTAATTTCAGTATGTAAACCCCCTGCAGATGTCTTTATTGTCAATTTTTACTGTCCTTTTCTGTTCATATTGCCTCGTCCTTTAGTGCTCCTGGAAAGTTTGATTGTGTGCCCAACATTGTATTTTCCAAATCCCTTGGGGAACTCTGGAGCTCAGGACGCTCTCCAGGGAGGGTTTGCGTTGCTTCTGCATCTTGGCTGAACTGCAAAGCTGGGGATGGTGACAAGCTGGCCTTGCCTTTCTTTCTGAGGCCCGGCTTTTCGGATCCCTGCTCATGTGAATAGTGGCCGTGCGGCCTCTCTCCCCTGCTGGGCTCTGGACCCAGTCCCTGTCTTCTCGGTCACCTGAAGCTTCCAGTGCTGCTTGGCCTCCCAGTGCCCTAGGGAATGGGCTGATGCCTCTCAGAGAAGGAGCGTGCTCGCCAGGCGGATCTCTGTGATCTGTGTCTTTAGCCTCTCACTGCCTCTGCCCTTGAGCCTGGACTTCCCCACCTCAGTGCCCTCCCAAGCCTTCACACAGATTTTTTTTCCCCCAGTACTGGAGCTTGATCCCAGGACCTCTCATTGAGTTACTTCCCCAGCCCTTTGTTATTTTTGAGACAGTGTTGCTAAGTCAGATTCTCCAGGTTGTGTTTGAACTTGAAGATCCTCCTGTCTCAGCCTCTGTACCACCATGACCAGCTTCATCATGATTTCCCCTTCCTTCCTTCGTCCTTCCTTCCTTCCTTCCTTTCTTCCTTCCTTCCTTCCTTCCTTCCTTCCTTCCTTCCTTCGTCCTTCCTTCCTTCCTCCCTCCTTTCCTCCTTTCCTTCTTTCCTTCCTTCCTCTTTCTCTCTTTCCTCCTTTCCTTCCTTCCTTCCTTCCTTCTTCCTTCTTCCCTTCTTCCCTCCCTCCCTCCCCCCTTTCTTTCTTTCCTTCCTTTCTACCAGGAATGGAACTCAGGGCCTTGAGCTTACCAGGCAAGCACTGTGCTATTGAGCTACATCTCCAGCCCATGATTTTCTTTTCTTTTTTGGTACTGGGAATTGAACTCAGGACCTTGTGCTTGCCAGGCGGGTGCTGTGCCGCCGAGGTCTATCCCCGGCCCGGGCCCATGATTTTTGACCTGTAGTATTTTTATTATAAGTGTTTTTTTTGGCATCAGTTTGATGTGTTTATTAATTTCTTTCATGATTGCTTATTTAATACAACATAGTTTTAAAATTTTTGTCTTTTTGTACACTCAGTTTCTCAAACTCCTGTGGTGTCATGTAATCCCCCTATTTGGGAGGCTGAGGCAGGATTGCCTTGAGTTCGAGGCCAGCCTGGGCTACATAGTGAGTTCAAGGCCAGCCTGTACTGCAGAGTGAGTTCCTGTCTCAGACCCAAATACAGAAAACAAAACAAATTAGTTTCTCAAGGTGTGAGTTTTTTTTGTTTTGTGTTTTTGTTTTCCCTGCTGCTTTTGCTTTTGCTGCTAGCGTTGCAGCGGTATAGTCTTCTGTTGTGTTTCCGACCCCATCCTGTTGTGGTTGGAGGCGCTCTGCGTATCCACCTTGTGGCAGGGGAGGAGGGTCGCTCTGTGCCTCCCGTGGGCTGTGTCTCGCGGTCTGCCCTGGGTGCCTGAGAAGCTCCTCGAGGTTGCCTGGGAGCCCTGGTGTGGACGGTGTTCCTCCTCCGAGGCTGTGGGTTGCACGGTGTGGTTGCCGCGGTGTGTTGTGTGTGGTGTGCGTGCCCTCGGTGGTGCGTTCACGCGTGTGCGTGGGTGGGGTTTGACCTGTTCCTCACGAGCTTTCCTCTTTGCAGGGTGCCCACCCCCACGGAGCCTTGGGAGCAGCCGGGCTCGGCACTAAGGTTTCGATCCAGCTTTGACAGCGACCCCATGTCAGGGTAAATAACCTGTGGGCTGTGTGCAGCACCCTCAGGCCTGCGGGGCGCAGTGGGTCCGAGGCGGGGGTGGGGTCCAGAGAGCGGTCCCCACGTCTGGCTGTGGGGCCTGTGCACCTCGCTTCCTGGGGAGGCTGAGTGAGTGTCGCGGGGCGGGGGTGGTGAAGGAGGTGCCTGGGGCCCAGCGGGGTGCATGGACAGAGGCGAGGGGCGGGCAGCAGGTGGCCGGTGGGCCTGGTGCTGGGTGGGGTGGCTGGGTGGGCGGCAGTGCGCCGGGATGGCGACGGCGGTGGGGGTCGTGTAGGATGGCGGGGAGCGTGGCGCTTGCACGGTGATGGGTCGTGATGGCAGTGGTGACAGTGACGGCGGTGGTGGCAGCGGGCTGGTAATGTGGGCGTGGGGCAGCGGGGTGCGCTGTTGCACACCGCAGTTCGTGGATCGCAGTTCCTGTGTGAAGACCCTAACTCTCGCGGGGCACGGGGCAGCCCTGTCTCCTCCACTGCAGGCCCGGGCAGGGTCTTGTCCTGCCTGTTGGCACCGTGACCGGTGCTGTACATGTTCGAGTGGGCAGAGGGGCGTGCGCCACACGTGCGTGCTTTCTGGGCTGGACCTCTTCACGGCCGCTGGTGGGCGGGAAGCCACTTTCGGAGGAAGCTCCCCTGGGCCTGTTTGCCCCTGAGGGGAAGAAGGGCGGGCTCCAGCTCAGATGGGGCTGGGGGCTCGGGGGCTCGGCCTGCCCGTCCTGCCCCGTGGCTTCCCGTGGCTTCCCCGGCTGCCGTGGAATCCCGGAAGGGCTCCTGTGAGCACAGCTGCCCCCCACCCGCACACCCCAGCACCCTGGACCTGGCTGGCTGAAGACTGAGGCCTCTTCTCCCCCTCTACATCAGAGGCCCAGGAGTCGGGGCCTCAAGGGAGGCCTCGCCGGGACAGGGCCTGAGGTGGACACAGCCTGGTGCTTTCAAAAGCTGGGGCACAGAGGGCAGCCGAGAGTCCGGGACCGTCCCAGGCTTTATGAGCCCAGCAAGAAGTTTTATTTAAATTGTTAATTAAAGGTGGAAATTTGCTTTATTGTAAATTTTACTGTCTAGCTGGACAAGCCCCAGGTTGTTTCTTCTGTAATTGGCACCTGTACTATACAGAAGAACACAGGCACACAGCCCAGGGTATAATTACAAAGCAGACGCCCGCGTGCTCCCCGGAGCTAGGGGACCCTTCGCGGGCGGGCATTTGAGCAGCTTGGAGGCTGTCAGACCTGGCAGGGGGTTGCTGGAGGAGCATCTCGGGGGCACCCAAGGTGGGCGGGGGGAGCGCGCTGGCGGGGGAAGAGGGGACAGGCTAGACTCCCGTGCCCGCTGGCCCCAGGACTGTTCACCGAGCGGGGGAGGAAGGTGCTTCTCTGAGGGCGCCGTGAGCCCGCAGTTGGGGCTGGGGCTTGGCGAGCTGGCGGCGAGCCGGAGTGTGGCTTGGGCACACTGAAGACCCCAGGGAGCTGCCCTGGCCAGCAGAGGTGCAGCCAGAGGCCAGGCAGGCCAGGGGGCAGCCAGCGCCCTGCTCCCCTTCCTCCCCTCCTGTCTTGGGCTGCCGGCTCTGCTGCTCCCCTGGGCCGGGGCCAGGCTGCGTCTTTAAGAGGCTGGCTGCCAGCCTGTGTGCCTCGCCTTCCTCCTGCTGACGTCAGGCAGGGGAAGGACCCAGGAGATTCGCTTTCTAGTTCCCTGAAAGGGGCGGAGATTGAGCCTGAGTGGCCGAGGAAAGGGAGGAAGTCCAGGCCTGCAGGAGGCCCTGAGTGGAGGCAGAGGCTAACATGGGGTGAGCGTGGATGCCGTTCCGTAGAGAGACAGGCGCAGAGCTGCCGCAGAGCTGATGTGGCTTGTGACTGCATGTGTGTCCTGTTTGGGCAGACACCTGTGTCTCTCGGGGGCTTGTCCTGGGTCACACGGTGGCGATGGCTCCTTTCTGGAAGCCAGGATGGGTGCTTCTGAGCCTCGAGTGTGAAGGTCTGTTCTCAGGTCTGCTCCCTAGCCGAGGGCTGGGCCCTGCTGAGGTCCGCTGTTCCTCTGAGCCAGAACCCCTGGGCGGGGTGGGTGGGTGCGGCCCACACCATCCTGGCCTCTGGTGCCCGTGCCCGGTAGCTGATAAAGCTCCTGTAGTTGCCGAGGGCTTGCCTTTTACTGGAATACGCTGGGGCTCCCGGCAGCGCGGAGGATGGGAGCGTCTGCCTTGGGAAGTCCGTCGTGATGAATGCTTTGGGCACGGGCAAGCCCTCGGAGGCGTCCGCTTCCGGAAAGCACGCTGCCCTCCCTGGCCCTGTGTCCCGTCTGCTTGAGCCTGTGACCTGGGAAGTAGCCGCGCTGCTGGCGGGGTGGCGGTGGAAGGAGGGGCGCCTCGGGCCTCTTCCTGCTGTGGGGCGGCTCTGCCGGCTGCGGCCCCTCTTCCCCCTCCCTCAGCCCGCCTTCCAGATCTGCCCCGCACACTGGTCTGGCTCTCACGCACCCTGGTGTTTTCACTTAGGCCCCACACGCCTGGCTCGCGACACAGGCTTGACGCCTTGCGCGTGGCGGGGGTGGGCACCCTCTGTGCAGAAGAGCTCCATGCAGATCCCAGACGGCCCCATTTGTGTGTGAGGAAACCGAGGTCAAAACGGGTTCGAGTTACCTAACTGTGTCGCCCAGAAGCCCCGGGGCCGGGGGCTGCCCCGCCAGTGGGTACGGTGTGGGCCGGGGAGGGCGGGTCGTGACCGGCTCTTCGGCAGGTTCGGAGCCACCGTAGCCATCGGCCTGACCATCTTCGTGCTCTCCGTCGTCACCATCATCATCTGCTTCACTTGCTCCTGCTGCTGTTTGTACAAGATGTGCCGCCGGCCGCGTCGTAAGCGCCCCCCTCCCCGCGTGCGCAGGACGGGTCCCTGGTGGGCAGGAGGGATGGAGGGCAGGCCTGGCCTCAAAGCCGGGCAGCGAGCGCATCTTGCCTGGGTTCTCTTTGCAGCCGTCGTGACCACCACCACGGCCACCACCGTGGTGCACACCCCTTACCCTCAGCCTCCGAGTGCGCCCCCCAGCTACCCTGGGCCGACGTACCAGGGCTACCACCCCATGCCCGCCCAGCCAGGAGTGCCAGCAGCGCCCTACCCGACGCAGTACCCACCACCCTACCCGGCCCAGCCCATGGGGCCTCCAGCCTACCACGAGACCTTCACTGGTGAGTACGAGGACTGCGCCCCGCCCGGCCCGGCTCCTTCCTCTGCCCCACGCGTGTTCCCACCGGGCACGTTTCTGTTGCGGCCCTCCGTGTCCACCGCCAACCCGTGTTCTCTCTGCTTTCAGGAGGTGCAGCCGCGCCCTACCCCGCCAGCCAGCCTCCGTACAACCCGGCCTACATGGACCCCCCGAAGGCAGGCCCCTGAGCGCACGCCCCTCTCTGGCTGCCACTTGACTGTGTGTGTGTGTGTGTGTGTGTGTGTGTGCGCGCGCGTGTGGTATGCAGGCACACTTGTTACTGCCCTGTGTACCTTGTATGTGACGTGTGGCTTCCTCTGATGTCAGCCAGGTGGGCTGGGGCCAAACTTTGTTGTCTTCACTTGAAATTACGCTTCCTGAAATCTCCAGCAAATTGGAAGAAGGCAGTGGGCAGTCTTCCACAGCGCGCTGCAGGGTGACCAGGCGCAGCCGGGCTCCCTGGGATAGCACAGCCTGTTGGGTGTCACGCACATGTCCTGGTTGTGGCCGGGGCGTGTCCCTGTGGGCCGGGGCGCCCTGTGCTGAGGCAGGCGAGCGGGCCAGGCGGTGGGCTCTTGCTGGGCCCGTGTTTCGGGCAGATGGCTGCTTGTTCCCCACAGCCTGCGCCACTCCGGAGGTGGGAACCCTCAGGCAGGGCCCCGCCCACCCCACCGGCCCCTGTCCCAGCGGCCTCCCTGGCACTGCCTGGGCGGCCCCCGGGACGCTTGCCTGCTCTTGCCGACCTGGCCCCTGCCGCAGGTGGGCAGTGGGGTCTCTGTCCGCCGCCACACTCAGGTCTCCTCCCTGCAGTGTTTCTGTTTTAGCCAAAAATGTTGCCTATTTGTTTTACAGTATGATGGCTGACGTGAGGCTTCTGACTGTGGAGCGGGTCTGCAGCGGCAGGCGGCAGCCTGACCTCTGAGGGCCCCCGCTCGCCCACAGCAGCCTCAGAGATCAACTCCAGGACCCAGGCCACAGTTTGCCCTGGCAGCAGGGACACCAGGGCCAAAGGCGGGTGGTGGGCAAGGGGGTGGGGCCTGGGTGGCAGCTCGGGCCCCAGCGCAATACCTCGGCGTTCCTTGTCCCTGTTCATGTTTTGCCAGCTGTCTTAGCTCTGTGTCTGTGTGTTTCCGAGTCTGGGCGCTGCACCCTTGTTTATAATAAACGCAAATGTTTGGGTGTGCTGCCTCCTTTCTTCAGAGCTTTGGGCCTTGGGCAGAGCACTGTTTCTACCCGCCTTTGTTTTTTGTTGTTTTTTGGGATGGGGTCTTGTTTGTAGTTCAGGCTGCCCTTGCTACGTAGCCCAGGCTGGCCTTAAACTCACGGTGACCCTCCTGCCTCAGCCTCCTGAGTGCTGGGATTACAGGCGTGCACCACTGTGCCAGCTCTACTCACCATTTGTATTTCTGTGTTGTGCCGCCTTTTATTGGGGCTCAGAGTTCTTGTTAGGGCAGGAGGGAAAAAGCCTACGCCTGCGCCCCACCCACGGTCCCAGGCTGCAAAGCCCCAGAGCGGGTATGGGGAGGTTCCCACTTAGTGCTCGGGGGATCTCTGCCAAGTTTCCTTCTCAGTCTACCGCCCGGGTGTGGCCAGGGACAGTCCATACAGCATGGCTATCGCCACAGTCAGGAAGGCCAGCATCCCCAGTGGGGCCAGCAGCCCTTCCCGGGGTGGGGTCCCAGGGACCTCTGCTGGAGGAAGAGCCTTGGGTCTTCGGTTGTTTTCGAGGCTAGCACTGGTGTTCCTGGCTGGGCCCAGGGTTGCCGTCGCTGGGACTGCAGCGGGCCTCGGGTGGGTCCCAGGGGAGGTTGTGACCCCATACATGGGCTTGACGGTGCTGAAGGGCCTGGCATGAGCGTCCACCCACTGCAGCAGGGCCTGTGGTCTCCACTGGCAGACGCTGAGCAGGGTGAGGACGTCCCCCTCGGCCATGTGCGAGTCCGCTGGGGCCTGCCCGTACAGGCGGGCGTAGATGCTGCCCAGGCTGTAGCTCCTCCTCGGGCCACGCTCCGAGGCGCTGTTGCTCTGCTCCAGGGCCTTCAGGGCCGTGATGCTGTCCACACAGAAGGCACCGTCCAGAGCCCCTGCAAGCCCCAGCATAGCCAGCTCTGCCCGGAGCAAGGGGAAGTCGTAGCGGTCACCGTTGTGTGCCACGAGGCACCAGGGCTGTGGCTGGCGCTGGAGGAAGGCTAGGAGCAGGTTGGCCAGGTTGTTGTCAAAATGCTGCCGCCCATGTGCTACGAGCTCAGCTGTACTCAGACCTGTGATCTTGCTGGCTGCGGGGCTGCAGGCCTTCCCCGGAGCCACGCACACGGAGAGCTTGTCTACCACACGGGGCGGCGGGGGCACTGCAGGGGGTCGCCCCTGGCAGGGGGCGCTGCTCTCCAGGGCACATCTGTGGACGGCCAGTAGGCACAGCTCTGTGACCTTGGGCTGGGAGCCGGGCAGGCCAGTGGCTTCCAGGTCCAAGAAGATGAGGGTCTGCATGGGACCAGGGGGCAGGGCTTTTGAGGCCATGCTGGGGTAGGAACCTGCCGCTGAGCCTGGGGAGGAGCATGGGTTAGGGCTGGTTCACGGGCAGCACTGGCATGGGGGAACAGGGTAGCACCAGGAAAGTGGGCAGAAGCGCCTCTCAGGCCTCTGCAGTCAGGCACTGCCCAGGAGCTCCAGGACCCACTTTCAGGGCGGGAAGCTGGAGCGGATGGGGTGGTTTCCGTGGTGGGCCGCGACTCTGCTGTCCACGTGGGGAGGAGTCCCCCTTCCTCACTGGGGTCCGGCCCGCCTAGTGCCCACCTGGGCCGCAATGGGGGAACCCACGGCCTTCCTCCCTGCCCTGCAGGGGTTCGTACTTACAGAGCCGGCGGGTGGGCGGGTGGGCAGGCAGGCAGGCAGGCACTGGGCTCTTGCCGCTGCCGGCAGCAGTGCCGGAAGTGAAACTTGGCTGGGCCCGCCCACTGGCCGGCCTCGTGAGCAAAGCCTTCCCCACTTGCTCTGCGTCAGCAGGCCTGCTCTGCCCCTCCCAACAGCCCAAGGCACTGGAGAGAGCCCCAGAGGGGACTAGTGCCTGGGCTGTCTTGAAGTAGCGCAGCTCCAGGTCTCGAGCACCGCTGGGAGCCCAGCTGTCCTGTGGCTCGTCCTTGGTCCCCGTGCCCAGGCCTTCCAGGTCTCCGTATGGGCTGAGGGCCGCCCCTCTCCCTACCACGCGGTGCTTTCTTCCCATGGCCCCAGTCCAAAGCCATGACTCAGGACAACTCCACAGCAGGGCAGGGCTTCCTTGATGGCAGATTAATTACCACGGGGACCAGCGGGGTGAGGAGGGGCGGGGCCACAGCCTCCCTGGCTCCCCCTCGGGGTCCCTCCCTCCCAAGCCAAGCAGGTGAGACCTGGAAACAAAGCTGACGTTTCCGACAGGGATGGGCAGTCACTGCTTTTATTTGTTTATTTTATTTTGTTTTCAGACGGTCTGGCTTTGTAGTTCAGGCCAGCCTTGAACTCGCTATGTAGCCCAGGCTGGCCTCGAGCTAGCTCCTGGCCATCTTCCGGCCAGTCTCCCGAGTGCTGGGGTTATAGGCGCGCACAGGCGGGAGCCACAAGGCTGGGTCCTCTTTCCTCAGTGGATGGGGTGAGGAAGGCAAAGGTGCTGGTGCCACCGCGTGGCTGGGTGCAGAGGGCTCAGCCACAGTCCATCTCAGCGTCGTCCACCTCGGTGTCCATGCTGCAGAGGTCCTCCAGGGCTGCCTCTGGCCAGAGAAGAGGGTTCTGTGTGACAGCCGGAAGCACAGGGCCTGGGCAGGTCCCACCTCTCCCCTAGCACAGGCAGTAGTCAGCCAGGCCCCGCTTTGTCCTGTTCTTGCTCCCTCGGCTACTACACGCAGTGACACGAAGGCCATTCAGAGCTGAGCAGTTCTGGAAAGGCCATAGTTCGGCCAGGCCGGCTCCACAGGTAAACAGCAAGGGCAGCCCAGTCTACTCAAGACAGGAGCCGGAGGAGAAAGAAACAGCGCCCAGCAGCAGGAAAGGCCGCGGTGTGCCTGCTCAGCAGCCCTGGGGACGGCCGCCTGGGGGCTCACCTTCGCAGTCCGTCACGTCGGGGAGCCCGCGGATCAGCGTGCTGACCCCGGGCAGCACCTGGTCATACTGATGCAGCACCTCCACGCAGTGCACGGTGAAGAGCTTGTCCTTCTGGGACAGGCTGTGCAGCAGCAGCACCGTGTCACGCACGCAGCGCACGGTCCGCTTCTGCCGCTCGGTCCTGGGGGGCCCCCCCGCCCTCCGCACAGTCAGCCACTGTCGGTGCAGCATCACCGTGAGCGCTCGGACCACCTGCAGAGGGCAGAGCCAGGCCAGGCTGTTCCCTGCCCTCACCGTCCAGAGGAGCCGGGCGCTGGCGGGCGCAGGTCCTCGCGTAGGGCCCTTCCCCACTCACCTCCACGTTGCAGTGGCAGTCAGAGCCGGTGACCGGGGAGGAGCTCTGCACACCCAGCTTGGCCAGCAGCCACACCACCTGGAAGGAGGACAGGTCCTGCCCCGTCACCACAAGGGCCTTCTCGGGCTCCCACAGGAGCTCTAGCTGCTTCGCCAACAGCCCGAGCCAGGACACACGAGTCATCAGGCAGCTCTGCAAGTCCCGTGACCGTCAGGGGCTCACCTAGGACGCACCTGTGTGGGAGCCTCCCACGTTCCCCTGTAGCTGCTGGATGAACTTTTTTCTGTATGGGGACTGAGCTATAGCCCCAGTCCTTTTACATCTTTAGACAGGGGCTCAGTAAGTTGGTAAACAGCCAAAGCTGGGCCGGACTTACAATCCTCCTGCCTCAACCTCCCACGGTGCTGAGATTACAGGCAGGCTCCACTACCTTGGTTCTGATGAACTGGTACAAGAATGAATTACACCTGTAGGGATGGTGGCACACACCCATAATCCCAGCACTCAGGAGGCAGAGGCAGAAGGATCACCGGGAGTTCAAGGCCAGCCTGGGCTGCATGGTGAGACCTTGTCTCAAAAGACCAAAAAAACCCAAACCAAAAGAAGACAGCCCTTTAGGCCCGGAAAGGTAACTGTGGGCTCCGGGATGGGGTGGGGCAGGGTCTCCGCAGCAGTCTCACGTACTCACCTCCTGTTCCAGCCGGAGCCACTGTGTCTCCGAGGCCCTGCCGTCCGGCCTCGACGTGATGTACGTGTACAGCAGCAGGAGCAGGCAGCCTTCTGAAATGCAGTCCTCACTCAGAGCCCCTCCCCGCCCGGAGCACCAGCACCCTTCAGGAATTTAAGGTGGGTGCCCCGCCTGCCCCTCCCTCCGACCACGCCCTCCTTACCGGAGCGGGAACAGAGCTGCGGTGCCAGGCTCTCGTGGTCCACCAGGAGAGCGAGCAGCTCTACAGTCCGCAGCACACAGGGCAGGGCCGTCTCCGGGCTGAGGCACCGCGGCAGAACGGGTAACACACACTGGAACCTGGAAGATGTGCCAGAGACATGACAGCCCCCCGAAGGAGACTGGGTCGGCAAGACGGGTTCAGATGCTACCCACCTCCCTGCTATGCAGCTTCCTGTGGTTTTTTTTTTTTTTTTTGGTTTTTCTCCGGTACCGGGAACCGAACTCACGACCTTGCGCTTGCCAGGCATGCGCTTTGCCGCTGAGCTAAATCCCCAGCCCCTGGAGCTTCCTGTGAATGAGCCCGTGCCGACCTTCGGCGCTGAGCTGCTGCGCTCAGGGGACACCAGGCCCTTGCCCGGCTCTGCAACACCGTGACGGGGCACTCCCTGGGCCTGGAAAGCCTGGCCTCCGCACTCGGGGCTCCTTCCTGCCTCCGCTCCCAGGGAAGGGGAAGAGTATAACTCAGGTGTGAGAGAAATGCCCTTTGCCTACCACTGGGACAGGTCAAGGCTCCGGAGGTGACACAGGGACTTGGCTGTGGCGGAATTTCATGAGGCCGCTCACAGAGCAAGACCACTCTCTGCTTGTCGGAGGGCACTGGGCGCTGCTGCCAGCGGGGAGAGGGGCCCGCCGTGAGGTGTGCATGGGCGAAGGCTCTGGACACTGTCCCCTGGTCTTGGCGAGGGGATGACGGCTCTGACCCAGGAGCCAAGTGAGGCAGGTTCACTCAGTCCACGCAGCAGCAGAACACACAGGTGGAAAGGGCCATCTACACTGTGGCCGGCTGCGTGCCCCTCACAGCTGCCGTCCCCTCCGCACGGCGGCAAGGAGACCCCTCTGCACGTGACTAGGAGCAAGAGGCGGGGCTCACACTGGGGCGGATTCCCTCCACAGCACATCCTGCAGGCAAGCAAGGGGCTGCATGCTCCTACCTAACGGATTGTGGAACTTTGGGAAACTGGCATTTAAGCTGGTATTTTTCCCCGAACCCCAGGTTTAAGGAATTGAATGGTTTTTAGGGATTGAACCTAGCTCCTTTAAAAAATTTTTTTTTCTTTTTAAAACAGGGTCTTGCTAAGTTGCTCAGAATGGGCTTGAAGTTGTAATCTTCCTGCTTCAGCCTCTGAGTGCTGGGATGACAGGCGTACACCACCGTACTCCTTGTGCTCCAAGTGGCCCCCATCTATTTTCATTAAGGCCCATGGAAGTATCTGCAAGAGCATCCTTGTGCACAAAGCAGTGGACTCCCATCTTATTTTCTGATAGCCTCAGAAGCTTCTCTTTAAATGAACTGTACACACAGCCCAATACACGAAGTAGATAAACCGTACTATTCTGGTTAATTCAAGAATGAGATCTTCTTGCTCAAAAACCCAGGCCTGGAAGCCAAGGCCTACAACAGATACAGGAAAAAGACAAGAGTGAGCTGGGGATGCTGGTGCTTGGCCCGATCCCAGACACTTGGGAGGTGGAGGCAGGCCGTAAATTTGAAGCCAGCCTAGGCAACCTAGTGAGGTCCTGTCTCAAAATAAAAAATTACACGGGCGCAGTGATGTGGCTCCGCGGCAGAGTGCTTTCACACACAAGGCCCTGGATTCAAGCCCTAGTCCTGGAAAAAAGACAAGACAAGGGTGACTTGCTTGCAAGCCTGGGTAGGCTACCTGCGCAGCAGCCCTGGGGACGGCCGCCTGGGCTGGCGCAGGAGCGGCCTCGGGGGCTCACCCTTGCAGGCTGTCACGTCGGGAGCGTGTGGAGACCGCGCGCTTCCTTGCTACTTCTACTACATCCCATCCTGCTTTTGAGCCCTGCCATCACCTCAATATAGGTTACTCAGCAAATACTGACCGAGCACTCGGAGTGAGCGAGGTGCGCTAGCCGTGCCGCGTCACAAGAGCCAGTGGGTGGAAGCTACCCGGGTCTGGCCTGCAGCAGGGACCCACTGAGTAGCTGTGTTCTCAATACCCACACGGACAAATTCCGCGGGAACAGAGTAGGAGTGTCTTCCAGAACTGGCAAAAACACGGTTTCTGGGACTGGTCATTTAACGAACAGCAACGACAGCAAAAGCTGCGAGCAGCCTCCCCACGTTCCCCACCACGCTGCGGTGCTACGTCCAACTCTGAGCACGTCCTGTAGGGTGAACCCGACCAGCCAGGAAATGCCCATAGCGCAGGACCCGGAAGTGCCCCTAGGAAACAAGCCTGCCGGGCGCAGACTCTGAGAAGAGCTAGGTGTGTTCAGCACGCGGCAGCACCCCAACCTACGGGGCCCCGGGGCGGGCCGGGAGCACCTGGATGACTGCTCGAGGGGGTGGGCCTGGTGGCGTTTACAATCCCTTCCCAGCAGCTGGCTCTGTATTCCCAGCTCAGGAACTTACAGCGTGTTTGTGAGCAAGGTTCACTGCACCACCGCAGCCTGCAGAGCAGCCAGCGACTTGTGGTGCCTGCGGGAGGCGGGCTCTGCCACAGACACGCCCTGTGCCCCCGCTGCGTAGGGAGCTCATCCGCATCTGGGGTTCAAAGGCCTGCGGGGTCAGCCTCGTCCGGGCGGGGACTCACGTCTACAGTGGCTAGCTGCCTTCATCATGCCTGTTTCTTGGTTATCAGCCATTCAGAGGCTGAACTGGACAAAATACACCACTTCCTTGGTTCTCCCAACACCTGGCCTCACTTCCCCCCACTTCAGAACTCCCTGCACCGAGCCTCTGAGCTAAGTACTGGAAATAAGTCAAGATGCGAGCAAGGCCAGGCGTGGTGGTGCACGCCTGCGCACCTAGCACTTGGGAGGCTGAAGCAGGACCGCCATGAATTCGAGGCCAGCCTGGACCACAGAGTTCAAGGCCAGCATGAGCTACATAGTGAGACGCTGTCTCAAAAAAAAAAAGACGTGAGCGAAGTGTAAGGGCCACAGGTTAGACCCTGAGAGGTCACGGGAGACCCACAGAGAAGCGTGCGCTCCACGCTGCTTTGTACCTGGGCAAGAAATCAGAGGACGCATTTTCGGCTAATTTCACCAAAACCTTGAGACACTGGCTCAGGACTGTGGCTTGAGGGTGACCCGCTGCTGTGGAGGAGAAGGCCAGCAGGAGGAGAAGCATCTTCAACAGTGGGTGCTGCCTGTGGTCTTCCGCGGCCCCCGCGGGGGCGGAGAGCACATCTCCCCACGTGTGCCCGCGAGCCGGGCTCCCGGCCCCTTCCTCAGCAGAAGGGTCCGTCCCCACTTCGGACAGCAGCAGGGAGACGACCGCCCCGCTGTGGCACACCAGGTGCTGAAGAACGCCGAGCGAAGCCACAGCGAAGCCTTCCAGGTTGCAGCCCGAGTCCTCAGGGCTGGCCTCCGCCCCAGCGCGCACGCAGGAGCTACGTGCTGGCGAGTCCCCGGAGGCGCCACTCCTCTTCGCCGCTGCGAGCTCCTGCAGAGCCTGGCAGTGCATGCCGATGAAGAACTGTAGGAGCGGCAGGAGGTGCACGGCCCCAGGAAGCTGGCGGAGTGGGAAGGCCCTCCCGGCCCCCTCGGCCGGGTCTCCGTCACACGAGCCTTCGCTCCTGGCAATCAGGTGCAGTCCAGTGAAGGCCAGGTTCTGTGCTTCTCTCAGGGTCGAGGGAGAAAATGCCCCGCTTCGAGAAGCCGTGGTTCTGAGGCCTGAAATCACAGCCAAAATACTGGAAACACAGAAAATAAAGCAGGTGAGATCACAGGCCCCAGACGGCCTGCCCTGTTCTCCAGTCTCCAGGCACATCCCAGACCTCCCAGGCCGGGCAGGGTCGGACAGGGACTTGCCTCCTGGGAACTCCTTTCTAGGTAAGCTTTCCAGGGGTCTCACGCTCACCTGCCAAGCCCCAGCGGCTGCAAGAGCTTGCCAGCGGGAGCCTCGGAACAGCTGCTCAGGAGGTGGCAGAGACCTACGCCTGACCCTGACATCAAAGGCTGCTTCAGCAACAGGTTTATCAGAACGGAACCTGTGGAAGACAAGGTGGCCCAGAAGGCTCTGACACAGGACGGCTTCTCGTACCTTCAAGAAGAAGAGCGGAGGGTTCTTTGGATGCTAAGCTGCCACTGAGTCCTGTCAAGATTCCTGTGGGTCCAGAAGACTCTGGGATGTGTCTACTCTTGGCCTTTGCATTGTTTCCCCCATTAGGTCTTGCTATATTGCCTAGGCTGCCCCTGAATTCCTGGGCTAAGCAGTCCTCTTGTTTCAGCTCCTGAATAGCTGAAAGAACAGGTGCCTGCCGCCGAGCCTCGCTTGACCTTTCCATTTTATAAAGTCTTATGCTTAAGCTGTGTGTGGTGGCACATGCCTTTAATACCCGCACAAGAGGCGGAGGCAACTTAGAGATGCAGCGAGATCCTGTCTCAAAATAAAAAATAAAAGAAGAGTTAGGGATGCAGAGCTCAGTGTGGAGGCCCTGGGCTCAGCCCTAGAATCCCCCTTCTTCTGCTGGAGACAGACTCCTACTTGCCGGGACCCCCTGAAGGACTGCCTGGCAGCGGGGTTCTCAGAGGTCCACACAGCTTCCCAGGCAATTCTCTGAGCATCAAGAGGCCAGTGGGAGCCATGCAGACTGCTGCAGGGAAAGCGGGGATTTGGGTACCTTCTGTGTTTGATTTCTGCGTCCGGCTGTCAGTAAGGCTTTTCTGCACCGCTTCTTGCTGTACAGGGCTACCTCTCAGACTGTGGGTCTTATTATCTGAACCTAGATAAAATGGAAATCGAAAGCACAGACATATCAGAAAGTCTTACATGTAATGAGTTTAAAACAGAGTTGGGCTGTTCTACCCTTCAACCGTGGGTCAAGCAAAGCAGCTTGGATCTTTTGCTTTCTTCGTACAAAAGGGTTTCACACGAAGAAAGAGAAAAGAAAATCGGGCTGTTTGCCTCACTGTTAAATGAAGCAGCCAGATGAATACAGTCACCACTAACGTTTATAGAGAGCTCAGTGTGTATCAGAAACCACTCCAAGGTTTCGCACGCAGCAGCCTGTCTGCTCCTCAGAGCAGTCCTACCAGGAGGCACTGTCGTTAGCTCTGCTTCACACTTAGGGAAACCAAGGGCAGGGGTTAAGGACCTGCCCGGACCAGACAAGCCAGTAAGTAGGCCAGGACTAATATCTAGGCTGCTGGGCTCTCTTGTCCGCTTGTAACACCACCCTGCTCTGCACCGTCAGTTGCTAGACACCAAAAGTGTTAAGTAGACCACAGTTTGTCAGAAGTGGCAAGACCTGAAAAGGCTGATGGGGGAAAGAAATCAACTATATCTGAATTATGAGATGAACTGGCATGGCACAGTCTCGGAATAAAAACGAGCAATGCTAGATGGGCTGTCTCCCTCTAGAAAGAATCGGTAACCCCTCAGTCTGGCTGCCTCTCTCTCGGTTTTTTTTTTTTTTTTTTTTTGACTTTTTGCGACAGGGTCTCACTATGCAGTTCAGGCTGGCCTTGAGCTCACTTTGTAGCCCAGGCTGGCCTCGAACTTGCAATGATCCTCCTGCCTCAGCCTCCCTCCCGAGTGCTGGGATTACAGGCCTGCGCCGCCACGCCCGGCTCTCTCCCGGTTTGATGGCAGTAAGTGAAGCCATCTATCACGCTATAAGGACACCTCCTGTCTGTGGAGAGGCCCATCTGGAATGGAATTCATGTTTTCATTCCAGATCCTTCAGCCTCAGTAAGTTTGAGCGACTTGAGACCCGAAGAGGTAAGCTGTTTTCCCTGTATACTCTCGAAACTGCAGACCCCCAGAAGTGGGAGAAAACAAATAGTTACTTTTGTTGTAAGCCACCAGCTTGGGTAGTTTGTTATGTAGCAGTGTGCTAAGAGGCTGACTTACCCTCTCGGCCCACCAGAGACTTGTATCCTGGCTCTGTCTGGCAGGGATTGGGAAAGGACATGTTAGCACTAAAGGACTCCTTTGTAGGAAAAGATGATTTTCCAAATTGCGAGGAACATGCTTCTGGTCTCATAACCACGGAAAAGTTTTTCCTAGGACTGAAAAAAGTTAACTATGAAACCAAAGTAATGATTCTGCTAAAATCACTTAAAGTACTTGGTTACAAAACTTTCAACAAATTTTAACTTCTCATGTTTAGGTGTTTTTTGGTTTTATCTATTATGCACGTATCAGACTCTGTCCAGGACAGTAGTACAAAATTCAAGGGATTTCGATCTGAATTACCAAATTTCCATATTCTCTAATCACCCCAAAATATTGGCCAGATTTCTTTTACTATTTATAATTCCACCAAAAAAAACCTGTTCAATGTGGAACAATCTAATTTTTAATAGTCAGGGATTCAGAAGGTGTGTTTAAAACAGCAAGTTAGCTGGGCATGGTAATACAGACACCTGTAATCTCAGCACTTGGGAGGCTGAGGCAGGAGGATCCTTATGAGTTGGAGATCAGCCTAGGCTACACAGTGAGCTGAAGGCCAGCCTGAACTGCACAGTGAGACCCTGTCTCAAAAAGACAAAACAAAACAAAACCCAGCAAGTTTCTCCATGTCAACCTCTCCATGTCTGAGGAGCAGTCTTAGCCCTCTGATTTAGTCCTTTAGCGCTGTGTGAAGAGGTGAGGATGGACTTAGCCTGGGCTCTTGACACCCTGGAGTATGCAAGGTAAGGCGAGTTTAATTCCACAGCCTGCTTATCACGGGCAAAGGCAGAACGTTCAATATTAGAAAAACATCCTGGCACCATTCAAACTTCAAGGCTGCTATTTACAGTGCCAGACTGCTCTGACAGGCAAAAGACAGAGTACAAACCATTAACAAGCTAAGCCCATCTGCGAGCAAAGGAGGGGCGGTTAGAACAGGGTCCCAGAGCAGCAACGGAGGAAAAATATACCAATATTCAGCTAGTGCTGAAGAACACTCATACTTGGGTCCCAACCTGTTGGATTAAACAGGTTTTTAGGGGGGGAACTGAACCCAGGTCCTTGTGCATGGTACATACGCAGTCTACCTCTGTGCTGTACACCAAGCCTGTTATGTTAAACGACGCACTAGAAACGAAGACTGGCCCGTGCCCCAAATTTGGAGATCATCTTTCTCATCTTTTTTATTTAAGGAATTTTTTTTTTTGGTATCGGGGATTGAACTCAGGGTCCTGTGCATGCTAGGCAAGCACTCTACCACTGAGCTACATCCCCAGCTACGTAATTCATTTATTCATTGTTTGCGGCCGTCACACACTGAGCTACATCCCCAGTACACACTCACACACTTCTTGAATTTTTGTTTTGATCCTGCCTCTGCCTCCCCGAGTGCTGGTATTATAGACACATGCCATCACCCCTGGCTTGCTTCTTCTACTTCTGAGAAATCGTGTTTATAGTCTCATTCACAGAAAGCACCTAGAGTGAGGGCCTTTATGCTGTGCACCTCAAATCATTCAGCTTCATCCAACCACCTTTTTTTTTGTCTTTTTGAGACAGGGTCTCGCTATGCAGTTCAGGCTGGCCTTGAGCTCACTTTGTAGCCCAGGCTGGCCTCGAACTCACAATGATCTTCCTGCCTCAGCCTCCCGAGTGCTGGGATCACAGGAGTGCGCCACCACACCTGGCCCAAACCACCTTTGGATCCTTCAGCAAAGCGGACCTCCGCCTAGGTGGCAGGGTCTAAATGGCCTTTGTTCAGGACAGGATTACACACAATTTTTACTGAGTGACGTAAAGCTGAATTACCCCTCCAGCACCACCCTTACCTAACATGGGACGTGGAGGGAACAGCCACTTTATTCACCCGTTCACTGCTCTGAAGCTTTGTCCTTAATTCATTCATTTCTGCCTCTTTAAACTGGAGTTCAGATTGCAACGACTGGAGCTAGAAGGCAAGAGAAACATACTTTCAGTGGCACCATGCCGTGCATAAAAATATTTCTGAGCTTCAAAATGTCAAGCTAGTAAATGAAAAACATATATAAGTTTGCTGTCATATAAATGTCCTGCAATATAAAATGTTAGCCTTCTTGAAAGACAGCATGGCTGGGTGTGGTGGTGCACGCCTGTAATCTCAGCACTGGGAGGCTGAGGCAGAAGGATCATTGTGAATTTGAGGCCAGCCTGGGCTACAAGGTAAGCTCAAGGCCAGCCTGAACTGCATAGTGAGACCCTGCCTCAAAAAGACAAAA